GAGTCTCTTGTTGCACAAAAGTGTGCATAGTATTGAAAATCAAGGCTTTTAGCAGCTCTACAGACACAACAGGCTACTCAACTGCACAAATGGTATGGACTTTCTGTTCAAAACTTATATTATTTCATTTATTCAACAGTTTTACACAGAATGATGTTGCAAAATGGCACAAATAAAGTAATTTTGTGAGAAAAAGATATAACCCTCGCTGCTTCCCATCTTACTCTCTCTGCATAACAATGAGAATGATGACCAAAAACACCTGTTTAAAGTACAACCCTAAAACACTGCCAATAGTTCATGAGAAGTTATATTCTGATACGATACATACCTCCTCTCTAACAATAGCTTTTTCGATCTTCCACTGCCCTCTAATACATTGAAAAATGTTCTTGCTTGATGTACTAGCCTTTATAACCCTGCAAGTTTGAACTGCTCATTTGTCATGCACAGAGCATATGACAACCCTCCACTCTCCTAGAGCAGCTGGCTCCCTCTGTTCTACTTCATGTGAATCTCACTTTCTCAATTGGTAACAAATGAGTTGGAAGTGTTTCTCGCATGCTTTGAGTTTTCAGTATTTTTTTTTTCAATATTTTGGACTTTGTTCTTTTTTTTTAATCACTTAGCTTTGCAATTTCTTACATTTTGGTGTGTTACTGATTTTCATTACTATTTTTGCACAATTTATTGCAAATTATGTTTTACCATTATTACAACCACTGCTCATGAAGTTACTGGTGACACAAACTCCTGTTACCTGGGCCATGGGATCGAGTTTTCGAGGATTCGTCTTATACTTACTAACATTTTGCATTACTTCTCCTCAATGCACCTTTTGTTCGAGGCCTTTCGTCATACTCACGACGATTTTTTGGAGAACCTCAGATCCTTTTTGTGGTCAACTTTGGGGAGGCTCTCTTCATCAGCTCTTTCCCTACTTACTTGGCTGCTTTATTGTTGGGACATGGGGAGAAGCATGCTGCTCTGGAGGTTGGTCTCCCTTATCTTCTCTCAAGGACTTAAGGATGGCTCTGTTTTTGCATGAAACAGTTTTGGGGGCCATCCCAATTCTTTGGAGTCCCACATTGATGTGGCCAGGTTACATACTTCCATATCTTTTATTCTTAATTGTTTATCACAACCTTCCTCCACAGTTCCTGATACTATTCCTGTTTCATGTCTTCTTGCTTCCACACCTTGTCTTTTTCCTGTATCTCAATGTTCTTGCCCTTATCTTCGTTTTCCCGTGTCCGTAAAGAATGTTGACAGTGGTAAAGGTGACTACACATGGGAGGTCAGGTCCTATGGGAGCCAGGCCTCACTATTTTGTTGACATTTGGGAGATCTTCACTACCAATCCATGTGTTTTATGGGTTTTGTCAGAGGGTTTCTCTCTTCACTTCTGGTTACCACCTCTTTCCTTGTCTCCAGTTCCTTTCCCTTCTCCAAGAGATCCAGTCTCAAGCAATCATCTGTCCAAGATAGTGAAAGACCTTCTTCTCAAGGAAGCTATCGAGCCAGTAAAAACCTTGTTCAGCCAAGTGTTTATTCTCGGCTTTTCGTTGTCCCCTAGAAAACCTGGGATTAGAGACTCATCATCAACCTCTCCCATCTAGATCAGTTTCTGGATTCTCCTTCCACGTTGCTGGTTTACCAAAGACATTGGACTACTTTTTATCATTGGTCTCTCTGACATGGTTTCTGCTCTTCCCATCCTTCCATTTCTCACTTTTCCTCATTCTTCACCTGACTGTTTGATCAGGATCTTTCTGTTTCAACAACTTTTAGATATTTAGCAGCCTTATCAAACACTTTTCATTTTACCAGATTCTTCTAGGTTTTTTCCTCTCCCATCCATTCCCTCCTGTTCCAGTCCTTTCATGTTCTTCATCCTCACTGTGCTTTTCCCATGCCTGATTGGGATCTCATTGACTTCTTTTTTTGCCCTTTCCCAACTTATGTTTGAATCTTTGGCTTCATGTTCCCTGTATCATCTGTCCCACAAGGCCTATTTCCTTCTCCTTCTCCATCGTTAGTCTGACTTTTTGTGATAGATGTTTCTTGTACCTTTTATCATAGTACCTATATTGTGCTATACCTGGACTGTTTCTTCCTTCCCAGTACTTCAGCTGCTTGTGAGAGTGATTCTGCCTTCACACCTATCTCCGTCCCTTCCATTTCTCATATTTATTCCAGGTCAGTTCCAGATTGCCTCCTGTAGCTTGTGCAAGACCTGTGATGTTACATGGCTCATAAAGCTGTTCCTGTTTGTTTATACCCTGGAATCCTTTTATATCACATGGCCTCTCACCCATCATTCTTAAAGGTTAGGTCGGCTTACTCTTCTCTCTCCTTGGAAAGGCGTCATCTTTATTTTGTCTCATCTCATCAAAATTGACATATCGTCATGTCTCTAGAAGCTCCTTTCATTATCCTCTGGAGGAGATCATCCAGGCTGGAATGTGGACTACTCCCAATACCTTTGTCACTTATTACCTACACCATCTGGTTGTGTCCTTCTGTGTTGGATATTATCTACCTCCTGTGGCAATTCTATAAACACTAGTTCGACTCCTAACTTTTCTGTTATGTTTCTTTTAGGGGCCTCCTTTTGCTTTGATATATATTTGGATCCCACTCAGTGGCGAGTGTTGCTTGGTCGGGTATACTTTCTTATAAACTTGCAATGAATACCTTTCTGGTAATATCACATACTTTTCAGATGGGGTGTTCCACAAGATCACTAGTGGGTTATCCTGTGGTATATCTCTACATATCTCTTTTTCTCAATATGTAGAATTTGATAAGTACTTGGTGGACCGTCACTCATGAACTAACATGAGTAAAGCAGGAGGGAATTGCTGCCCAACCCTGCCACTCCTTCGATTGAATACATCAGAGGTGGTCTGTTTTTCAAAATAGAGTTTTGTGGTCACCTGTTGCAGTTTCTCAGGTGTGATGTTCCCCTGGACTCCCCTACACCTTTTATCCCTTGTTTCTTAGAGTGGAGCTTCGGAGCCCTTGCCACTTACTAGTTCCTAGCATTTGGGGTGGTGGACCATGGAGGCTTCCTCGTGAGTGCAGAACAAACATCATATCTCTCCACGTAGTTGAGAAGAGGGCAGAGCTGAGAACTTTCCTTCCTTCTACCCCCTGGATGTTTGATTTCAGGTGTACTGATGTTGGTGGGAGCTGGACCAGCCAATGCTGGATCCTCCTTATAATCCCAGGTTCAGGTAGATAGTGCCTTGTTCCTACAGTTTAGACTGGTAGATGCTCCCCTTCTTGGTAATTGCAGTTGCAGAATGTTTCATTTCCCTGCTCCTACTGTTGTGCTTGGGAGACTTTCTCTCTCTCGTAATACCAATAGCAGGACATACGATGCCCTGTATCTGCGGTTGTGCAGTTGTTCCATCTCTTGCTCATAATACCAGGGTACAGAATGAATACCTGTTCTTACAGTTGAATTTAAGCTTACAAAGCCTTGTTAGTTTATGTTCAGAATGTTGTACTTCTTGACTCCTACAGTTGATTTGGAAGTTTGTCTGGTGCATGTTGTTTGCTTACTTCCTCATTGTCATTTCAGTTGTTTGCATTAAAGCACTCTACATAATTATGGGTGGGGTTAGTGTTTATTTTACTCATGGTCCACTTGCCCAGGCCACCATACACTTGATATCCTGATTCTGAACTTCCATGAGATCCTCCACCTTGTAATTCTGAGGACAGGACATGGAACCTCATCTGTATGGTTGGGCTTGAGTAGATACCTAGCAATGTCTAGATGAATGTCTCCAACTTCATAATTCTGAGAACTGGCCATTGGCTTTTCATTTTCGCCATGTGGGTTTGAAGTTACCTCTCACTGTCCATTTGTTTTTCACATATACTCCTTGGAACTCTTATTCTCCCAGAGTTGGTTTGGTTCCAGCCATGTTTGTACAGTTGAGTATGTACTGGGACTCCCATTTATTATTTACACATGATACATTGTTTTCCAAGGTCTTTCTCATACTAGCTCCAGGCCTTGATGCCACCCATTTCACAACACTCCATTTCTTCGAAGACATAGAGCATACTGGTTGCAGAAGTGGTGTAGTCCACCACGTGTGCTTCCATTCCATGACAGTGCACACCTTATGGGCCTAAGCTTGAAATTGAGGTTCACATAAAGTAGTACAGAGGGAGACAGTACAGAGTGTGTCCTGCTCATATTGGTGGAGGGGTTGTCACATGCTCTATGCATGCTAAATGAGCAGCTTGAACTTGTGGGGCTATAAAGACTAGCATGTCAAGTGAGAAAACTTCAATGCATTAGAGGGCGGTGGAGGTAAATATTTATCAGAAATCTATTTTCACTGTAAGAACATGATAATGTTTAAAGGCCAGAAGCTGATGAAGCTGGAAGTCAATAGGCTTAAAGTTTGTAATAAAAGTCATGTAAACAGCAGATTTTATTCTTCTACATCTTCTCTTAATTTTTCCATTTCAGATTCAAAATCAGAGACATATAAAAGTTGCTTTTTATATCAACTTTTGTACTCCACAACATGTTGCCCAAGATAGCAAAAGATAGATTTGAAATGCTATTTTTGCATGCCTCTGATTTTGAATTGAACATGGACAAATTAAGAGGAAAGTGAAATAGAAACACCTGCAGTTTACATAATTCTAGTCCAAATTTTAGGTTTTATAGTTCATCAAGTTGACTAGCAGAGCTTTTGTTTTGATCTTTTTCCACCATTTTGTGTGTGGCAAAGTGTTAATATGCTGTTAATGCCATAAAAGCCTGGTGAAAACAATAAGGAAAAATCATTTTGGTTACAAAAGTTGCCAATAAGCAACTATATTTGGATAGAAAAATCTGCTCCCTAGAAATTGTTGTCAATAAGTGGCATTAAATTGCCATTAAGTCATGCCAACTGCACATAATACTTCATTTGAATTAAATACAGGCTATTTTATATAAAGTTTTTGTTTTTTATTTTATAATCAAGGTCCTGCTCTCTTTGGTGCTATGTTGGTTGTTAAACAATTCCATGTGAGAAAATGTGGCCATGAGAAAAAACCAATTGAAGCATCAGAATGCCTGTATTCAATGGTGAAAAACAACAATACTGCTCATTATTTCATTGCTACACAAGATCCAGAACTAAGTGAAAAGGTTAGGATAATTCTTTTTGTTTGCTAAAATTTTAGAAATTATTTTCCATGTTAGATTTGTCAAAAATCAAGGATTATGGAAATAGTAGAAAAACATATCAAGAAAATGAAAAAGAAATAATGAACTTTAAATACAAAGATAAAACACAAAATACTCATATTCAACAGAGCTTGTTAAAAATAAAAAACAAAACAGTCAGAAAATGCACAATTAACTAACAAAAAAGATATTTAACCCTTTTCCAATGAGTGACCCTTTAAACGCCTTTCTGCACAAGTCACCGTATTACATTCAAAATTTAATTAAACACCTTTACTATCAATGTACGGGAATAAAATTAATATTATAATGTATGTTATGATTCAAAGTTTATTTTATATAAGTTTTTTAAGTCCTTTATTTCAAAGTAAACCTTTAAAATCTACTTAAAACTTCAGATGTTTTGTTATCTGACCAACGATCTTTGAAAATTCTCTATTTTGGCTCTCTATATCTTCAATAATACAATGGTAGTTGAGTAGAGATATGTCTAGACAATAAGATGCTTACGTAACCTTTTGACATGTTCATTTCAAAGTTCTCTGAATGAATACAATTAAAACAGGTAATACATTTTTTCAACTCCTCACAGGTGCCACGCTCACCTTCAACAGATTTGTTTGAGTTTATAGCCTACATGTAGGTTTTACATAAGTGTGTGTACAGTCATTAGAAAGAGCTCATTTTAAACTATAATCTAAATTGGCACCCAGTTGTTATCATGGAGTACATGGAACTGACTGTAGTATTGTTGGATGCTTGATCGACGACAGCACTTATGGTTGTTTCTTATGTAAATACATTATAGTTAGTGATACAGTTTAAATTGTATTTAGGTCTTACTACTATGTTTTAGGTAATTATATATTAGTTATGTTTTAAAATGCATAATTAAAAGGCTTATACATTTTTTAAATATACATCACACTTTGCATCTGTTCTCAAGGCTTACAATATTAAGAGCTGAATGAAATTTTTGCCAAAAGGTTGCACATGTCTCCCAAAGACACAGTAGTATGCCTCAAGTATGCCTTATGTTGAGATGAATAATTAGTAGTAAGGGACAAGAAAGGAAAATGAAACATTAAAAATTGAATATATGTAAAAAGGAAAATACCTGAAATTACAAATTTAACAAAAGGAAAATTTTTAAAGATATTCTACAAAAAATTAAAAGGTACTTTTTTTCTATTTCCTAGTTTTAATCATTTCACTGCACTGTACATTGATGATAATAGCTAGAATTAGTGATATGTAAGAGAAAATAAAGAAAAAATAAAACACTTTGATATAAAAAGACTTTTGATATTCATTTAGGAGGTTCTAGAGATTATGCAAAGGAAATATGAAACTATAAGATAAAGAAAAGTATTTTTAAAATGAAAATTATCTTGCACTTGAACTTTTCACAGTTTGAGTGCAAATAACTAAAATAAATAAATAATATTTTTAGTTAAAAAAAGGTAATTAAAATAATGTCATTCTTTGTGTACAAGATATTTATAAATTTTAACAAAATGTTCTTTTTGAGGAATGCATAGAGTTAACCATATTTTTGTTGCATAAATGTCCTTCCCTTGTCAAGCAGATGGTAATCACGTCCACCCGTGCTGAAAGGGTTAATAAATTAAGATATTAAAACAAGTATTTTAATTAGGGCTAGGCAGTTACTGGTATTTTGTAACTGATTAACTGATGACTCCATTCGTCAATTAGTACCTTGTCCCTCAAACCTTGGTATGTAATAGCAAATAAAAAAAGAGGTTGGTGACAGGTGCTACCAACCAGTTACCTTCACTCTAGTCAGCAGGCCAAGAAAAATAAGATATAATAATTTAAATATTTTCTATAACATACAACAGTCTTCTAAAGCCAAGGAACTATTTTAAGAATTACAAAAACTGTTTAGTATGGAAGGAGCAAAAAACCATAATTAGTCTTATAGGATCCAAGGTTCGTCATATAATTAAAGTCACAGAAGGAATCCACAATATAGAAGTCCTTCTAGTGTATTACTTTAATTTCTTGACAGAGTATGAACAAAAACAACATGCTTGAAAACTTGAGAAGATTTTGGAAAGCCACCATACTGATAAAAAGGTCTGTGTGAAGATTGCAGAAATTCAACATCACCTTATGAAGCAGGGCAAGTCAAAAGCAATAGTGACAGGAAGGACAGAATCTTAGTTGAATTATTCAATAATTAAAAACAGTGAAGATTAATGTAAATCTCTACAGGAGAATACTTCCAAGGTTTCAAGGCTTTGGAAAGATCTTCCAGACTGACACACCAATGATGCAACATATTCGTGTACAAATGCTCTAATTGATGATGATGTTTTTGATCCTGTGCATGCAATTCAATTGCACAAGCAGATCAGTTAATTTTCCTAATAAGTATCTCTCCACAGGACAAGATGGTGGAGATAAAAAACCCTGGCTGGGGCATTTTTGCTCAAATTTGGAACTAGCTATGAGAAAGTAGCTTTTGCTTTTATCAGTAAGTTGCCATATGATGGCTACTTTGATCTAGCTTTGTATAAAAGTACAGGGTGCATCACTGCTTTTAACAGACTGTAATTTTGGTAGTAGAGAATAGCTCAGACTATAATTGTGCTATCCCCTACTACCAACAATTACATGCTCCATCTGCCCCAGTTTGGGGTAGTGTCAGGGGTCAAGCGACCCAGAGTGCAATGGATGGATCTCGCCTTGGGGAAGCTACCTTGTTTGGATTAGCTTGAACTGCTACAGCGATTACTTGGATGCCATTTTCATTGCATGCAGAAGGAAGTCAATTAATAATTTAAAGATTGTCCATGATTGGTGGGCATTTATCTTTGATGTGAAACAGTCAGGCAATGAAACCAAGCACTCACTACCCGGCCCCCATAAAGCTTGTGGCAACATTATTAAGCATTCTTTCAGACCCACCTGTTGAAGCATCTTTCAGTATCATGGATGACATTATCAAAAAAAATCTCTCAAACAGTTGAAAACTATGAAGTACTAGCTATGATTTTATAGTAAAAAGTGTTGTGTGGAGTATGGCTTTGGATGGGGATGTGTCTCAACAGATGAGAAGAAAAGGTCACTCAGCATAAAACACAAGAAAAAAGGAAAAAGAGAGAGGAAACATGAAGGAACTATAATAAAATTGAAAGAATAAAAGATAGCCAAAAAATAGATCAGTTGAAGGCAATGAGCATGTCAACAGGTAGTACCAGAAATTCAAGTTCATGGATCATCTTTAAAGCATTTACAACCAAGATGACAAAAACTAAATCATTACCACATAAGAGTACTATTAATGAGGAAGAGAAGCATACTGAAACAAGAAACAGTGACCTTTTCAAGGTCTGTGAATACTTTGGGGCTTCAAAACTCAATACAAAGTATGTAATTTAGCATGCTCAAATTTGGGGGGGGGGGGAATAATGAGTCCCTTTAAAATTACATGAGAGTATAAAATGACTTGTTTTACCACCCCCATCCCACCCTAATTTTTGGCTTGCCTCTCCCAAATATTTGGTGCTGGTGTTGCAACTGGCTAAGCCCCTGACCTTCAACTAGCAATTTCCTACTGGATGTAAATGCGTATCTTTTCAGCCTTTGGATGTCAAATATTTTCAGTCCTGGAAGTTAGGAGGTGCTAACAACAATGTAGCTGTACCATGTCACAGCTAGATATAAAAAACCTGATTATCCTTTAATTCTTTTTAGCAGTTTATACATACACACACACACACACACACACACACACACACACACACATATATATATATATATATATATATATAAAAGGGAAACTCACTATTGTCTACTCAGGCCAATTTTCTATTTGATTATTTATTAAGATATTTTCAAAATTTAGTGTATGTTTAGTTTTATGCAAGCTCCAAAAACAGTTACTAAATATATTGTATTTTATTATACATAGAGTGTTTGAGTGTCTTAAAAGTGTTTCTCTTTTTAATCATATAAAACTTGCTTTTGTACTCTGAGAATTATTATTACTTGATAGGATAGGTAGGTTTATATGTTTTGGTGTTAAATTTTTAAAAACATATGAATAAACATTACCTAGAAATGGTAATTACACACAAAGATACACAAAATTAAATTTTCGGATTTGAGATTATCACAATACTTTACTGCTGTAAAAATATACACAAAATGCTGTAACATAAATAATACTTGTGTATCATAACATAACAAAAATGTTGAAAAAAGATTAATATGTATATATATATATAATTTTTTTAAATGGTTGCAGGTCAAAATAACATATTTTTGTATGTTAAATATTGTGGTTCAATGACAAAAATTTACACATTCACTTTCAGACCCAAGGAAAATGAACAATTTTGTAGTACTAATGTATTTTATTCAGGATTTTATAATGTTTTTAATGGCTTGGTGAGCAACAGAGGAAATCTTGAATGGTGAAATTTTGTCTATATTAAATTCAAGAGAACTGCAGACATAGGAAAATTTAAAAAGCTTGGTGATTTTTAATGAAGCATTTTCTTTTGTTTTGCAAGCTAAAACATAACATCATAGCTATGTCAAGTTTCTGATCAGAAAGACTAGAAGCTAAATATTAATATTTCCTTATATGAACTTTTCATTGTCTTAGTATGATTAAACATTTAGCATACAGTCTTTCAGTTATTAGACAGAAACCATTTCTAATTTGATTTTCATTTTAATTGATGCTGTAAACTATGGGTTGAGGGTAATAATGTATTATAAAATTCTGTTGAAATGATGAATACTTTTTTTTAACAAATAGTTTATGCCATTTGATGAATATCCTTACTAAAAATTGAATATTCTCTGTGAGTGTTAATTTTACATTAATATGAAATATGACTGAAACTCAGTATTTAACTGATCTTGGATTTTGTTTATTTTGTATTTCAGATTAGAAATGTATCTGGTACACCTTTGTTGTATATGAAATTTAATGCAATTATCTTAGAGAAACCATCAGACATTAGTATTAAAACAGCTGAAGCAAATACATCGGAAAAATTAAATCCTTCGAACTTTCAAAGTTCAGTTTTAGACGAACTAAAAAAAAGTCTGGATTAGGAGAGCAAGAGGAGAGAAAAGCAACAATAAGAAGGAAGAAAGTGTCTGGACCAAATCCTTTATCCTGTAAGAAGAAGAAGAAGAAGACGAAGCCTAATGCCATAAACAAAACAAAAGTAAATCAGAAAAAGAGAAAACGTAAGCGAGTGAAAGTAGCAAAACATGTGAAATGCCTTTTATCTACAGTATCACAATAAAGTATTTATGGTACAAATATGCAAGTTTCATGGTTTGATATGTTAATATTCTCATGTATATAAAGTACTTCTTTGAAAGAAATGATGTGGTCTTACTAAATGTAGGTTTTTGTTATAATAGAAAAATTATGTACTGCAAAAGGTACTTTCCAAGACAAAACTTCACCTCTGCACACAAAATAGCTTTATTCCTACATGCATTTGCCTATGAGATTTGCATGCTACTAGCCTTGAGCTACCTCCCACCTAAAAAGTATGTGTTGTGAACTGCACTAGTGCATGATGCAACATAACCCTCCACCAATAGGAGGGTGACACAATTTCTTGCATAATAGCTCTTATTAAGTACATGTGTTCGAATTAACTTCATTCTTATCCTTGGCATTGTATAAAATGGATGTGATTTTAAAATTGTTAATCAGTTACTGGGGATTTGAATTAGTTTACAAGAATTCATTTTTGTTCATGTTTAACTGGTTTAGTTTTATGTTCCACATAACCAGCATGTTTTCTTTAATTTCACTAGGAAAAAACAATTCTGCTTACCCATTATTACGAATTCTTAAGTGACACAAATCCCACTTCATCTCACAATGGTGGCAATGTTATGAACATGGGGCTACTGGAGGTTCATTGTTTGTTGAGGATGTTACAGCCAGTGTTTAACAGGTTTGGGTTTATTCATGCACACTGGGACTCATCCTCCTATCTATTTGGTTGATGCTCCTCCTCTGCAGCTGTTTCCTCCACCAGTGTTTGCTCTAGGCACAGCTGGAATGTGTGAAGAAAATCCTGACACTTCTAATCTCTTCCTTGACATAATTTTGCACACATGCGCTTTTCTTTCTCTTTCCCTTGTGTCTTGATTCTTCCTGTGCTTTACTACATGAAACCAATACTCAAGATTATTGTCTTCTATCTTTTGCCTGATATTAGGGTCCTGGTGGGACAGTAGTAAGTCTATGGATTTACTATGCTATAATAAGGGGGTTCGATTCTTCTTGGTGAACACAGCAGATAGCCCAGTGTAGCTTTGCTATAAAAACACACACAATCACAATCAATTTGTCTGCTTGACACTTTTTTTCCTGGCTTACAGCCAATCTTCATTTTTGTTCCTCAATTCCCAGCAATTGGAATATCTTTTACCTGCTTGGGAGATAGACCCCTTAACTTCTATTTCCCTTTCTACATCCTAATTTTTACACTTTCGTCTCTTTTTTTTTTTTTTTTTTTTACTATCCTCTTGTATTACCTTTCATCACTTTACCATGCCCTGGAAGGGTTTTTTTGGAGAGATTTGTTTTCTTCTTTCCACCATTTTAGCTCATACTATTATTTTGCTCTATCCCTCCTTATTTAGTTTCTTTGCTGATGGGATAAGATGTTAGATGATAAGATGCTCTCCTAGCTGATTTTCACATACCTCACTTTTATTACCTTAATTTTTTGGTCTCCTTTTTGTCACCTGCAAATCTTCGGTGGTATTCTTGAGGCAATTTGCCATCAGTCCTTGTCTAATTTTTTCTCATCTTTCTCAATTTTGTCCTCCTGTTCCTAGGGCCTGCTCAATCCATGTTCCCCTTCCCATCCCAGCTTTCTAATTTTCTTCAGATTGGAAAATCTAAGTATATCATACTTCATTTGCTTGGAGGACCTTTAATTGTAAAATTTGAACCTTACTTTGATAAGTGAATAAAAATCTGTGCTATCAACTGTATTCGTTGCACCACATAAACTATTTGAATTATTTATTTGATATTCCAAGGATAAATCGAATACACAGTTACAATAACTGAATATTTAGGAATCTACTGTGTGGAAACACAAGTGTAACTAATGTTACAGATGAAATCAAAGTGTAGTGACAATATAAAGTTGAACAAAAATAAATACTTTTTTCTGAAGGAAAAGAAGGTGAAGATTGGCTGAATGGTGAACTGTTAGATTGTGGTGGAATTAAAAAAATACACTGTTTAAATAAAATTGATTTTACAAAAGGTCAGTTAAAATATACTTTATCTGATAATAAATTGTTTGTGTAAAAAAACCTAGAATGCAAGCTATGTAGATCTGAAATATGAATGAGACTATAAAAGCATGTTTTGAAATCTTCAAAATGGAAAAAGTCTGTATGAAAATGTTAAAAATGTGTTTCCTGTTCACTTTTCTGTGTACCTATCCAATTATAAAATCAGGAAATATATCTGCCATATATGATAGTCATGAAACAATACTACATCCAGATAGTTTTCATGATGAAACTTTGCTATAGAAATCAACACGAAAACTGAACTTACTGTTTGACTTCAGTTGGATTTTTATGCACTGAATTACAATTGTAGATCTGTTTGTTTGTAATTAAGCACAAAGAGCCATCTGTGCTCTGCCCACTATGGGTATCGAAACCTGGATTATAGCGTTGTAAGACCGCAGACATACTGCTGTGCCACTGGGGGGTTACGATATGAAATTTATGGTAGATGAGAGTGAGACATGTAGTACTTGCAAACCACAAACTACTTTTTTCTTATTTTAGGCTTGTTCTCAAGCTAACTTCCAATTAAACAATTGAAAAGCTGCAAAGTGATCTGGAAAAATCACTTGAAAATCCAAACCTTCAGTCAGTGCAACAGAATACACATCATAGTAATGCACTAGATGAACCGTACAAACACAAGACTTGCAAATATGACAAACATACTAGTGTATCCCATAAACATCTAACTACAAATGTTATGCAAGAAAAAAAAGATTTAAAATACAGTAATACATAACGAAAACTAAAAGTAAATATATTCATGAAGTACATTAAATTTTGCAAGGCATATAAATAACAGTTAAAACAAAATATGAAGTAAAACCACACAATGGGAAAGTAATTCCATACTTTCATAGTACAATGAAAATTATACTCAATAATAATATCTATATACTTACAAGCCATTTAAAGCACAATTAAAAATAAGATAAACCCTGGATTAGAATAATATTAAAACATATTTGATTAAATAGTTGCCTATATGAGCAAATCAAAATACAACCAACTAAACATAAATCAGGAGAGTGGCACAAAGAGGAGGGAAACATAGGAAATCAAGTGCATTAAATAAAATGGAATGAAATCAAAGTCTTCAAATTGGCAAGTTAAACCAAAGTAATGTACTAAAATAGAATTAAATCTAAAATTAGCATAGTAAACTTTAAGTAAGAAAGCTCTAATATGTAAAAACCTTTTAATTAAAGCATACCGTAACGTTAAAATCCTTTCAATAACAGCATAGCAATAGATCTTATTTACAGAATTCAGATTTACCTAAGAAAAAAGCAAGATTGTTAAATATATATATATGAAAGCATTACAGCACAAAAGGAAACGAATCCATAATGGTGAACCCTTTGCAAGTCATATATTTCCCCAATGTAATTCATAATATGTAAAATTCATACCCCACAGCTGAAGGAAGTTATAGATATTTACATTTCAGGACTTTTAAGATGATTATTAGATTGCCCAGGGCTGCAATAGAGTATTATGCTCTGAAAATAGTTTTCAAGTGACAATCACTTTGTCCACTTGCAATTGTCTCTGCATCAGACAAAGCTCTTAAGCAGCATAGGTGGAAGTTCAGCATCATTGTTTTTGAGTTTCACTCTGCCAATGCTGTTTTTATGGCTTTTCTAGCATTTACTGGATCTGTAGTTTAGGAGGCTAAATACGATTGAGGTCATTAGTAGGCACCCTTTCTTCACAGATTTGTTCTTTGCTAAAGGGGAGTGCTTCCACAATACTCTTGGAGGCTTTTCTACAATCCTCCCACCCAGAAGTTTGATTAACTGCTTAGGATTCTAAAACCATGATCCAGCTGGAGGTGAGCCCATACCTTATTCCTGTAGTGCCTACATGTGATACCCCTCCAAAGAATAAGCAATATAACTCCACATCTTTTTCTTCATGTGGATGGCCTTAGCTGGTAAGCTGTGGTGGAGGACAGGCTTCCAAACCACTGTAAAATGGGACTGAATTCTCAGCATCCTGTAGCACAGTTTTGTATGCCTTGGAGACATGAGTATTCAAACTGTCACTAATTTTCTTCATAATCTTGTTTTCGCCTTCATCCTCCAAAGGAGATATCCTGAAAATGGGGATTAGTAAGAAATGGTCCATGTTCACCAGTGTTAGAGGTAAGATCCTCTTTTAAAAAAATTGACAGTAAGTGGAGTCTTTTCTAAGTCTTCCAGGTTTATACTTAGGTTGACATCAAAATCCAATACATCTTCTATGATAAGGCATTTACCACTTAAACTTTTATCGTACACTAAAAGAAAAGGAAATTAAGACTGAACTGGTTGCTGGTCAGAGCAAGAATAATTGGCAGACATTTATATCACCCTACCTTTTACATGTAGAGATTGAGTTTTATTCTACGTGCAATCTAAGCAACCACTTATTAGGTAATTTGAGAAACAGCACTCCACGTGACACTGGATATCACAAAAAAAAGATAACTATGAAACTACAGCCGTTAGTTTTCAATTGAATCAATACAAGAAGCCATAAAAATAAAGTCTATTTTCTAACTTTCTCATGGTCGATTTTCAATTTTTTCAGTGTTATTTAGGGCTGCTTAAATAATTCGTAGCTCCCGCATAAAGCTTTAACATGTGCATGAGCTGACCATCTATTGTCAAATAGGCGCTTCTAAACTTTATGTTCTGGTCTGAGAGAAGATAACAGCATATTTCAAGAGTGAATTGATTGCACTAAGAATGTTTGAATGAAATTATAAAATATTATGTCGTCAAGAAATTAATGCCGCTTTTTTTGACG